GCACTCCCTTGTTCAGGTCAGCTGCTTCTGTGGGTTTCTCCAGCCAAGTCTTAACTCCTTTGTGCATCATAACTCCCTCTTTGCAACTGGGTTCCAGGAATTCAGTTCAGTGTTTAGCTGTGGGTATCTGCCTCTGCTTCCTTCAGCCACTGGATGAAAGCTCTAGTATAGCACACAAGGAAGTTAATCACATTATCAGAGAAGGGTACTTAATGTAGCCTCTCCACTATTGGTTAGATTGCCATTTGGTGTCATTCTTGTAGGCCTCTGGACATCTCGCTAGTGCCAAATCTCTCTTCAAATCTATAATGGCTACTTCTACTATGGTATCTCTCATCCTTCACTCCTGACATCACTGTGCTAGTCCCTCTTCGACTCACAGAGAGAGGAAGTGTCTCACACTTGCCTGCACTCATCCTGAGACCAATCAGAGTATTGGACCTGCTTGCACCCACCAGGAGAGGAAGAGAACCTGCATGCACCCACTAGAAGAAGCAGTGGGAAGACAGCAATATGAGAACACATTCAACAACAAAAAAGCCAATATGATGCCTCCAGAGTCGAGGGACTCTGCACCAACAAGATCTGAACATACCAACACAAGTGAAGCAGAAGAGAATGACTGTAATGATACTGAGGAAATTCAGAGAATCATCGGGTCATACTTTGAAAACCTTTACTCCCCATAATTCTAAAATTTAAAGGAAATTGACAATTTCCTGGATAGATATCACTTATCAAAATTAAGTGAAGAACAGATAATCAATTTAAACAAATCTATAATACCAAAGGAAATAGAAACAGTAATCAAAAGTATCCCAACCAAAAAAAGACCAGGCCCAGATGATTTCTCTAGAGAATTCTACCACAAATTCAAAGAAGAGATAAGAGCAGTACTGCTCAAACTGCTCTACACAGTAGAAGCAGAAGGGTCTTTGCCAAATTCTTTTACGATATTACAGTTACCTTGGTACCCAAGTCACACAAAGACACAACTAAAAAGATAACTATAGACCTATATCCCTCATGAACATAGATGCAAAACTACTCAATAAAATACTAGCAAACTGAATACAAGAACACATCAGAGAAATCATACACCATGATCAAGTAGGCTTCATCCCACGTACTCAGGGATGTTTCAACATACAAAAATCTATCAATGTAATCCAACATATAAGCAAACTACAAAAGAAAAACCACATGAGCATCTCACTTGATGTGGAAAAAGCCTTTTACAGAATCCAATACCCCTTCATGATAAAGGTCCTGGAGAGATCAGTGATATCAGGAACCTACCTGAACATAAAAGTAATATACAATAAACCAACAGCTAACAACGAACTAAATAGAAGAAACTCAACATAATTCCTCTAAAATCAGGAACAAGACGAGGCTGTCCTCTCTCTGCATATCTCTTCAACATTGTACGTGAAGTTCAAGCTACAGAAATAAGACAAGAAAAGGAGATAAAGGGGATACAAATAGGAAAGGAGAAGTCAAACTTTCACTATTTGAGGATGATATGACAGTTTACATAAGTGACCCTAAAATCTGTACAAGGAAACTCCTACACCTGATAAACACGTTCAGCAAAGTGGCAGGATACAAGGTTAACTGCAAAAAATCAGTAACCCTACTTTAAACAGATGATAAATGGACAGAGAAAAAATCAAAGAAACATCACTCTTTACAATAGACTTTGTTGTTCTTAACAAATATTATCTTAAACCATTGTTATAATAAATTGTGTTTATCTTATTAAAATCTCATTTTAGTACACAACTCAAACCTGGTAGTAAACATGATGAATATACTTTCTTTAAAAACATTTATTAAAATTGACATAGTAAATTGAATCATTAACATGTGCCATTACTGAACAATGCATGTTCAAGAAAACATAAAATATTGAATATTAAGAAATAATTGTGAATTTGCAAACTGTATGTTTATATATACAACTCCATCAAACCCTGATCAAATGAGTCACATAGAATGACTCCTACTCTCCAATCTGTTCTACATTCTATAGACATTCTATAGTCACTTATTGCTGTGCTTTCATGGACTCTGTGAACACAACATACTGTAAACGTTTGGAGGATTCAGAACTGAGAAGGACAAGAGCATTTTGTAGTCCCAACAAACTCATGCTTCATTAGCAGATTTTAATTCATGTCAACCCTCATCCATGAACATTAATTCTCTCACTTCAAATAACAGGCTCACTATACTGACAGCTCATATGTGGACTTAATTTGAAAACAATCAAGTAACATGCATAATATATATCATAAGTAAAACCAGTAGTCACTTTCCTTAAGGAACATTTTCTTTCAAATCACTACATTCCATTCCCTGGATCCCAATGGCTTATACCCATATCATAAAGCAAAAATGTGTACAGTCCAGATGAAAAATACCCATAGTCTGTAACAGTTTCAACTGTCATTCAAACTTCAAAGTGTCTTCTGAGATGCATGGCACTCTCTTAACTGTAATTCCCTTGTCAAAATCAGTATGGAAACGCAGATTGCATGCTTTCTGCATATCACCTCCAGCTCCATTCCACTTTGACCACAACACACTTCTTGCTCTTGGGCTCATTCCACTCCCTATTAGCGGCTCTCTCTTCTAGGCAGTTAACCCACAACTCTGGCATCTCTAGCATCTTGGGTTCTCCAAGGCAATCCAGGCTTGAAATTCATAGCTTCCCTCAATGGCCTTTCTACTAGGACTCCATTCAGGGACACCCCTCACATATGCCAGGCCTCAGCAGCTTTCTTTATGTACAGAGGCAAACTCCACAACCCATTTCTTCTATCCTTAACTCAGAAGCCAGAATGATATGACTAAAGCTGACAAGTTTTGCTGGTTACTGGGGCTGGACCATAGCCCCTTGCTCAACTGAATCTTCTACAGCTTTCCTCCTTACTGCCTAAGCTTGCCTGTCTGAAACTGGATATATAGACCAGGCTAGCCTCAAACTCAGAGATCATCCACCACTGTATTCTGACTGCTGGCATTAAAAATGAGTACCAGGACACCAATCCCAAACTTTTCTTTAATTACTTTTCACAAGGTGAATACTTAGTTGGGTTGGATCTTGCCCTGATGTCACCACAACTTTTATTCCATTTCTTAATCTATTTATCTCCTTGAACATAGGATTTAGCTCCATTTTGCATCCTGGTGCTCTATTCTTCTCAAAATGTACTTTTTGTAAATTACCATGCTCAGTTTGGTACTTTTAATTATATATCACCATTAGAGTTACCAGTAAAATCCACACAGCAGAGTATTACTAGGCTGTTATTCAAATTTCTTATGCCAAAATAATTAATCCAAGATTCTTTACTTTAGCCTCAGGCAGAATTTTGAGACAAGGGCAAAAGACAGCAGCTTCACCAAAGTATCACAAGAATGATCTCTAGACAGCATACTAAAATTCTTCTCTGAAACCTCTTGAGTGAGCCCTCAACAGTTAAAATAACACTAAGGATCTCTGTCTTCCATGGTGCTACTTGTATGGCCCATTCCTCCTTTCATAACACAAAGAACCAAAGTCTAAAATCCTCCAAACAAACACATGGTCTGGCATTATCACAGCAGTATCCCAGTTACTGGTACCAACTTCTGTCTTTGTTAGGGTTTTCTGTTGCTATGAAGAGATACTATAACTATGACAACACTTACATTGTTTTCTTCCTTTTTTTCTTTCTTTTTTTCCTTTTTCTCAGTTCCTGCTCCCTCCTCTCCTCCCACTCCCTCGATTACCCCTTCTTCAATCTGCTCCATGATGAGGATAAGGCCTATAATAGGATGTCTACAAAGTCTGTCCAATCATCTAGCTTAGTAGCGTTAAGGCACCTCTCCACCTCCACACCCCTGTGTCTTCACCAGGCAAGGCATCTCTCCATATAGAATGGGTTCCACTAAGTCAATTTGTGCATTAGTGTTAGGTCTTGGACCCCCTACCACTGGCCTCATATATTGTCCCAGTCACACCATTGTCACCTATATTAAGGAAATCTGGTTCGGTCTTATGCAGGTTCCCTATTTGTCAGACCTGAATCAGTGATCTCTCACTAACTTGGGTGAGCTGATTCTGGGGGATTCTGTGTCATGATCTTGACTCCTTTGTTCATATTATCACTCCTCCCTCACTTCAACTATAACCCAGGAGCTTGGCCTATTGGTTAGATGTGGATTTCTGTATCTGCTTCCCTATGTCTCTGGAAGAGAGCTCTAGTCACTCTTGGATTGTGGATTTTAGGCTGAGTATTATTTGATTTATGTCAGGTTTCCACTTATGAGTGAGTACGTACTATATTTGTATTTCTGGCTTTGAGTTAGCTAATTCAGGATGATTTTTTCTAGTCCTGTCCATTTGCCTGTGAATTTTTGGGATGTCATTATTTCTTACCACTGAGTAGTATTCCATTATGTAAATGTACCACATTTTCTTTATCTATTCTTCAGTTGAGGGGCATCTAGGTTGTTTACAAGATCTGCCTATTACAAATATTGTATGGCAACACTTATAAAGAAAACATTTAATTGGAATGATTTGCTTATAGTTTCGGAGATTCAGTCCATATTCATAATGATGGGGAACATGGTGGTGTTTGGGTAGATGTGGTGCTAGAACTGAGAGTACCACATCTTTCAGGTAACAGGCAGTGGACTGGCTGTCACAATGAGGCAGGACTGGGCAAAAGAGACCTCAAAGGACAAACCCACAGTATCATGCTTCCTCAAACAAGGCCAAACCTCCTGATGTGACACTCCTTTAGAAGTCCATTTACTTTCAAACTACCACATTACAGATCTACCAACAGTTGGGCACCAACTTCAGTGACCACCACTTCAGCATGTAATATTGTGAAGTATCTGTTAGTGAGAATGTGAGACATTAAGTTGGATTTACACATATATTATAAATATGTGTGTGTATATATACATATACATAGTAAATTTATAAAGAATGTCAATGATTAGAATGCTTTGCTAAGAATCTTTCTTAAGGCAGTTTTAATGTCCTGGTTCCTTAAGCTGTAGATGAAGGGATTCAACATAGGTGGGACCACGGTGTACATCACTGAGGCCACATTATTACTACTTGGAGAATGTGACAGAGAGGAGGTGAAGTACAGCGCTAGTCCTGTACTATAAAACAAACAAACAACGGACAGATGAGATCCACAGGTGGAGAAGGTTTTCTGCTTCCCACTTGATGATGATGATCGTATGATGGATGAAATTATTTTAAAGTAAGAGAAAATGATTCCTGAAACAGGAAGTAACCCAAAGAGGGTGCCTATACAGTATCTAACTATGTTATTGGTGACAGTATCAAAATGGGCAAGTTTAAGGACTTCAGAAGGGCCACAGAAGTAGCTGGAAACTTCAGTAAAATCCCCACAATTGGAAAAGTTTAATATTGCCACATAGTGCAAGATTAATTCCACAAGACTAACGAGAAAAGAACCTAGAAGTAAAACACCACAGCGATTGGGACTCATAATGACCTGGTAATACAGAGGGTGGCAGATGGCCACAAATCTATCAAATGCCATCACTGCCAGAAGCATGCTATCCATACATCCAAAAATTATGATCAGTGCCATCTGTGTCAGGCAGCCCACATAGGAGATGACTTGGCAGTTGGTTTGGATATCCACAATCACCTTTGGGACAGTAGTGGAGATGAAACCAATGTCAACCATGGACAGGTTGGAGAGGAAGAAGTACATGGGTGTGTGGAGATGGGAGTCAGCGCTTACTGTAAGGATGATGAGAAGGTTTCCAAATAGGGCCAAGATGTACATGGACAAGAATAGGCCAAAGAGAACAGGCTGTAGATCTGGATCCTCTGAGACTTGAATTAAGTGGAATTCTGGTAGAGATGTTGTGTTTTTCCTGTTTTCATTTCTTGAACAGCTTTTGGAGGAAACAAAAAAAATGTTGTTAACAATGGTGCCAGCATGCATGTATTCCTTCTTTACAATATGAGTCAAGTAAGAACCAATTTTGATTATTTTCTCAAGTCTATTGTGACATCCTTAATCATTTCTCAGTTGTAGCAAATGCCATACTCTAAATAGTGCTTTGTTCCTAGCGCATGTGTTACCACTCTTGAGAGCAATATTGAATACAGTAATCTAGATGATGAGACCAGAGTTACTGTATACAGCTGGCCTGTAGTCACTGTGAAAGAAAGCAAACACATTAATGAAAAGATGGGGATTTGATGGAAGCCTTACATTAGTAAATTGTCAATCAAATAAATTGAAAACTTGAAACACTTAAACATATGTATTTCTATTACAATAACGTGGAACAAGTTTATTTTTCTTAGAATATATCTGACAACGTGAAGTCTGAGGTCTCAATAACAAGTTTTGATCCCTGCCAGAAAAATATTTTCTGGTTCTAGTGTCATCTATAGGTTGCTTTTTTTCTTTGACTTAAAAAAGTTCTCCATTTTTTTGTTTGGGGACTTTAAGACTTTTTGAAAACTTATCTATATTTTAAAGCTATATAAAAGCATATATATATACATATATAGAGATAAAATCCTTATTTCTATACATCTATATCAAATTTTTGTAAATACATCTTAGTTAAATCGACACTATCACAGAACTTCTCTGTCCACAGCTGCTGAGTTGTCCAATGCTGTGAAAAGTTATAAACAGTCAGTAAACACAGGTGAAATTCTGTTCTGCAAAGCTAATTTGGAGAAATCATCTCCACAAATATCAGTAAAATGTCTGCTAAAAAGCCATGGTTTCCCTGTGTCTACGCAATGCCACTGATTTTCTGCATTGCAACCTTCTTGACCCAGAGCCCCAGTTTCAGTCCCTACTGCCTCAGACAGCAAAGTAATCCCCATGTGAGTCAGGTCGGTGCATATATGCCCATGTTCTTACTTTATCTACAGAGGAACTTTCAGTTTCACTTTTAGGTCAGAGGACACTGAATTGCATAAAATATAAAAGCTTTGAAATACAGAAAATATTACTGATGCAAAGACCTGAGCAATGCCCTAATGGCTAAAGTAGATACCACTTACTTCTCTACTGGGGCTACTACAAGACACAGGGACACCAAAGATCATGAAAATTATGTAGACTACTCGGTCTTTGAAATTCTAAGCAATATAATTTCCCATGAATGTTTAATGAATCACAAGATTCTGGACTTCATAAACCAATTTAATTACAATACGTACATGAAGAATACTAGATTATGTTTCCTTCAACCTGGGGTAGAATCCACTGCCTTGCAATTCTTTCTGGCATCTAGAATGCATTCATTTAATACCATGTAAGTAATAACACTTTTAACAGAAACTCATCAGGACTAAATCATGTGCATTTTACATTACCTATATCAGATGTGATGATGATGAACTTTGACTTCTTAGTAGTTCTGCATGATTTCATTGTCTATATCAATGGCTGATACAAATTCACAGGACAGATTTTTCCAGTGCTATTTCTATATAAATACCTACTGAAATACATATAAGGAGCCATTTTAAATTAACCTAATACATACTTGATGCTCATTCGGTAGTGTGCAACACAACACGTGCTGTCCCTAATAGTGGATTTGCATACATTGAAGTGTGGTTATAAGTCTGTCTGAGAACTTCTCATATCTATTGTACAGATATTAGCTGTATCACTACATCATGGACAGACAGACATTAGTTTTTAGGTGTCATAATTTTATAGGAAAATCTGAAACTGAGAATAATAAACTGACATTAAAATTATCTATAGATTGCTTAAACCACATAAAGTAGAATTCGTTGAAGGAGTGTCCCCAGTTGTCTTATCAGGAAGAGTACAATACTCCAGGAAGACAGGCTAATCTTGATAGACAGCTGCCTATTCAAGGTAGTCCTGGTCTGTCTCTGGAAAACTAAGACAATAGTATACACTGAAAACCTCCACATTTGTTCAAACAACCAAATTAGGAAGTTCCATCTCCTTAAAACAAGGTCAATTACTCAAAATGTAACTTGGGCCTTTGAAACTATAAAAACAAAGAGAGTTTTCTAACTCTGTCTTTCTTTTGTCCATGAGCCAGAACCAGGCCTGTGCTATTATTAAAAGAATTTCCCCTTGTTAATCTCTAAGGAGTAGAGTGATCTCTACCAGAGCAGATTGTTAATTCTGACTAAAAATTACTTAGATCACCAAAAACCCGTCTGTCTTCTATTGATTCCAGTAGTTATTTAGTTACCTCATAAATATATGGTAACTACCAGACATGCAACAATAGATGTCTGTGTCTTTTAATACTCATCAGTTAATTGTTCCTATAAAAACAATCACCTAGATCCTAGTATCCCTTTTTGTATTGCTTAATAATCTATTGGATTTATGACACTATCACATATGAATATCATTCACTTTTCATAATGATTTCCTACTTTTCCCATGAAAGACAAACTCATAATATGTGCCAGTAAAATGGTGAAATCTACCTACTTATACTTCTTCCAAGATGATGCAATTTGAGATACATCACATACAGAATATATTTCTATTTGTCTCCAGTGGTATAAACAGTGACTGTGGTTGGGAATCAGTGAATCAAGAGAACATTTATGACTTTCTCCACACCACATGTTCATAAAAACCAAGGATAAAAATCCCATCTCCACTTGAAAAATTATAAAATTTGCATTGTACTTATTTGTCCAAATTTAAATCCTATGTTGGCAGAAAATATGAGTTTATTGAGGAATATTTCCAAAGAGCACTGGAAAATAGAATTGTGTGAATTCTAAAGTTTGTCTTCACACAATGCACAAAGTTGACAATCCATTTCTTTTTATGACTCTACATTCTTGTATCTTCAAGTGAGAATACATGCAACAATATTTGGATAACCCATTAGTGTAGCAGTAAATATCACTAGATGACCCAAAAATTCCATGACATAGAATCAAACACCAAAAATTTGATCCTGCATCAATTTCTAGGTTACATTCCTGAATGGAATGAAAATCAAAGGAAAACCAAGCATGTGGAAATTGGTGTTTTGAAAGGATAACGGGTCTACTTAATGTTTAAAATATGTTCACATCTGTAGCAATGACTTTAGATGATTTGAAATGAAAAATGAAAGTTAGAGGTCATAAGTTATATCAATATACGAAAAATACTCAAATATTGAGGAACATTCATAGAAAAATGTTAAAACTTTGTCTTCTAAAATTTAAATTATCTCACAATTACTAATAAGGTGTCCTAATTCACATGCATATATAGAAGAGACAAAATAATTCAAAACAAATGTATTACTCTTTGATTCTATAGTGTTTTCTTTTGGTTCATTTTGAGTTTTATTTGATCATTTTTTATATTTTATACTATATTTATGTAGTAACATTACTTCCATTTCACCTCTTCAAACTCCTCATATAACTGATCCGACTCTACTTCATATTCGTAGCTTCTTTGTTCATTATATCATTCACATACATATATGTTCATGAATTACTAATCATATAGTTTTAAGAAGATATTCTGAGGTCTTAATACAGGTATCTCTTCAAGATCTCATGTTTTCAAACTACAGATGATATAGGGACCTGACCTCCTTTCCTATTGACTGATCCTAGGAATTATGGATAATGCTGACAGCAGCAAAGATATCCAGAAAATAGAATGCAGCTATTATAGATCCCAAAACCTAACACTCACAGTGTGAGGCCAAATAAGAACCAAAGGAACTAGAAAAGCATGAGTTGAATTTTTGTTTCAATGTTTTGAGATTGTTGCAGGTGAATATACAGCCTGCAGTTCACACAGCAGAAATGAACTTTCTGTAATAAAGGATCTGGAAACTGCAAGGGACAGAAAGGACGGGACTTCTTTCTTTTATAATGAAGTATTATGCAATGTCTGTTTACTGAAATGATCACTCTGTGTTGTGATCAGGCAAAGTAATTCACACAAGACTTCACTCACTTCTACCTGATCTCCAGGTAATATTACACAGCAATACTGTCTTTGTCTTCCACCTTCTATAAAATAATAATCATGCAGAAGCTTATAATGTTGGAACCTGAAAGAACTATTTAGATGAAGTTGGACCTATAAAATATAGAGCTCAGATCCTCCTACCAGGGAAGACCTTAATAGTCACACACACATAGTGGCTTTCTTCAAAAGTATAATTACTGAATCACCCTCACCAGCATAGACACAGCACTCTAGATTGACTATAAAACATCTTATTTAAACATATTTTCTGCCCTCTTTGATCATAGGAGCAGAGAGAAGAGACACTAGAACAGTTCCATGAGAATTAGAGGACTGCCATCATACCTAAGAACATAAAATCCCAGCAGAGAGGCTCAACTTTTTATTGCAGTTTGTATATCACCACACTAACCAAATTATCATAGCTCCTATGATTAGGAAGAAGTAATAATTACTGTAATCTCTTCTACACCATCAATTCCCTCAGAACTTACATGAATAAACTGTAGCTCCATGTGGCCATGTAGGAGGGATGTGAATATGACGAACCTCACTAACTTAAATGGTAAAGGCTCAAGCTCACATTTGAATTCTGAGGTGAATAAAATAGAAGAGGTTCTGATGCAGATCTCTGTGGGTAGAACAAACAGGGCTATATATTCCTGGATTACAGATCAAGCTGATGACCTACAGGGTTGAACTAACTAATTATTCTTACATAACCATAGAAACTCAATGCACAGAACTGGTGATTACTCACACTGGTCCACAATATTGCAATCTCTGAGGAATTCCTGTGGTTAATGGAGGAAGCAGAAAAGAGGTTGAATGTTCTCAAGAGACTAGCTATGAGGTTTTTTGATGTCTTAAGTTTTTATTTCTACTATTTCTCAGTTTTGGCTCTCTTTAGTAATTCTTTTATTAATATTATTAAATTATATTGAACGTACTTTGCTGTTTCCTTCCTGTGAGACAATCCAAAGGCCAGAAATTAAGCATGTCTGTTCTCAAGATTCATTCCAGATGTACAAAATAAGATTGTTTCTAAATAAAAAGTAGAAATAACTCCAAAGTGCAACAAGGTCCAAAGTTGGAATAAGTTGAAAAATAAAGAAATGTAAAACAGAAAAAAAATTGTACCATAGAGATCTTGACTCGGAGAATCCAACTTTTGAAGTTGATCACTGTATGTCAAAAGGTCTCTTCAAAGCTGCTGTGCCAAACAGTATCTCCACTGACATCTATTGGGACCTAGAACTCTGTGACAATGACATGTCCTACTAAGAAAGGGCATCTGAAAGGCAGCTTGAGCGCATCAGTAAGACTATTGCACCTGCTCTGGGTAGCAAGACCCTGAGTGATGTGGAACAAGATAAGATGGACAAACTGATCATCAAGATGGACAGCACTGGAAATAAATCTAAATTTAGAGCAAACGCCATACAGGAAGTTTCCACGACTGTCTCAAAAGCTGGTAACATAGAAAAGGGGGTATCGTTGTTCCCTCACATCAATGACTTATCTGACATCCCTTAAGTCATCCTGCTGGTCCCAGCATCCAATGTGATCAATGGTGACTTAATGCTGACAACAAGTGTTCATGACCCTGCCTGCGGTGGTGTTAAGTTTCTGTGAAGCCATGTTCACTGGAGCAGAGGGTTATCACAACCTAAAGAATGTCATCAAGAACCAATAAGAGAAGAAAGGCACCCATGTGAGTGACAAGGAAATATTTGTGCCTGACATCCTGGAACAAACAAGTTTTAGAGATGCTGAAGGTCACAATTGAGAATGCCAGGTACACTGACCAGGATGTCATCAGCATAGACATGGCTGCCTCTGCATTCTTCAAGTCTGGCAAACAGGAGTCAGGTCTCCTATGAATCCAACAGGTACATCACACCTGACTAGATGAATGACCTGTATAAGTCCTTCACCTGGGAGTATCCAGTGGTGTCCATGGAAGTTTCCTTTGTCCAGAATGACAGGGAGACTTGGCAGAAATTCATATGTAGTGCAGGTATCCAGGTGGTTGGAGATGATCTCTTGAAAACCATCCCTGCATGGATTGCCAAGGCTGTAGAGGAGAAGTTGGACAACTGCCTCCTTCTCAAATGAACTAGGTCAGTCTCTGTGACCATGTCTCTACATGTATGCTGGCCCAGTTCAATGATGGGGTGTCATGGAAGTCCCATCGTTCTGGGGACACTGAGGATACTTTCATAACTGACCACATGGTAGGGTACTGCCCGTGGGATATCAAGGCTGGTGGTGCTTGCTGATCTGAGCACCCTTCCAACTACAATCAGGAACTTAGAATCAAGGGAGAGATGCATGGGGATTCCAAGTTTGCCAGCAGGAACTTAAAGAATCCCCTGGACAAGTAAAGCAAGGACTGGAAATCCCTGAAGTCACCATCTGCTTAGACCCTGTCCCTGATATCTTGGAGATGGATCCAAAGCTGGACCAGTGCTAGCTGCTCCCATGCCATACCTGACCAGCAGGAGCCCTGCTGGATACACAAGTTTTGTAATCATGTGATTTGTCAAATCATTCTTTCTATCACC